CACGAAGCTGAGGTTTTAGTTGAATCGTGCAGAGATGAGACTGTTGTCGTTGACGATATTCATCCTTGTGATACGAACACAGCAGCTGAACGTGTGCATGTGATCTGCATTGATTCTGGCAGGACGTGTGTGTGTCTGATCCCCGGGGGACAGTGTTAAAGCTTGGATTAGCTATGCTGGGCTAAGTGTAGCTAGCCGAGGGGATGGTGTATCCTGTGCATGTGTGTGTGTGTGTGCGTGCGTGCGTGCATGTGTGTGTGTTTTATCCAGCTTGGGGCTTAGCCAGCCGGGAGCTGTCGTGGCTCATTGCTACAGCTCTTTTCAGCATGTGAAGGGAGACCAACCAAACTCACTGCCGACAACTCAGAGCTGCAGGAAAAAGTGATAAATGACCTATGTTCTCAAACACACACACAAAAATATCATCAAGCACAGTTACACCAATCCACTCAAGATAAATCGATGTGGAGCCAAATGTTAATTCAAAATTAATTAACTTAATTAAAGTAATAAACATTTATTTAATTAAATGATTGAAACTATAGAATTCTAATCTCCCTTTGCTGAGTTGTGTTCATTTAATAAAGAACAAAACTGTTGCTATTCACATGCAGATTCGCAAATGACATCATACGGCCCCACAGACAAAGGAAAGCAGAAGTTCTGCTTCCACAACAAAGAATAGTTCAAACTTTATCTTAATTGTTGAACGTTAAACTATTTAAAATACTTCACACTTTTAATTTATAATTGGGAATCCTGCTCCATAAATGATGAAATGTCCAGAGTCGTTTTGTTTTCCTGTATCTTCTGACGTCACCTCTTCATCATCCACAGGGGAAAAAAAATAATGCCTGGATTTCCTGGCACTGGATTATGACATAACGCGTCAATCACCTCCTCTTGGCTGCGCTGTGAATTTGATGAGTAATGAGGATTTAGCTGCATAATCCTCACATCTGTTACCTAATCGTTTCTACTTCTCTCTCTTGTCTGTGTTTTACTTTATCCCTGTGCATTTGCTGCCATGCCTGCCTTCGCGTCTGCTCATGCATTTGCTTCTCGGTCATGTCTGCGATTCTGCGTCATGTATGTTTACTCCGTGTGCGTGTCTGGCCTCTGTGTGTGCCTGTGTGTTTGTGCGGCCGTGTGCGTGTTGTTGTTTGCGTCGGATGTTTCTCTAGGTGAGCTCACCCCTCCGCACGAGCACAGCTGCCTGAGCGACGAGGACAAGGTGCAGGGCGGCGGAGCACAGACCAAAGACCGGGGGACCTCCACTGACGGCCCCTGCAGACACGGCTCCGGACACTCGCACGGCTCGTCTACGGCAGCGGTGACACGCTCCAAACTTCAGGAGAAGCCACCAGCTCCCCCACCACCGCAGAACTACACACCAGCTCCTCTGTATCCAGCAGGGAAGGTAGATGGAAGTGGGACCCACCGGGAGAGGATCCGCTACCACACGGACGTTCATGTGGAGCCTACAGAGGAGATCTATCTGACTCCTGTGCAGCGTTCTGCCGACCCCCTCGAACCCCCCATCGCTCAGGACCGGCCTTATCTCTCCCAGCAGACTGAGCAGGGCCGTATGTCCATCAGCTCCGACACTGAGGGCCCGCCTCCGTACCAGCCCCTCCCAGATCGGACAAACCCCTCCATCTACGAGGAGGAAGAGGTCTACGTCCCCCCACCCTCATATGCTTCCTGCGTAGAGTCCCTCATCACGCCGCCCAGCATGGCTCTCTCAGCTCGCTCCTCCCTCGCTCTGGACCTCAGCTTGAAGGGGGCAGGAACGGGGGCCGGGGCCGTACTGAGAGCAGGGTCATCGGTGGAATATGTGGACGCCACAGATGAAAGCTACTGCGGAGAGGACGAGGATGTGGACAGGATAATAATGGACGGACGAATGAGGAAGGGCGTAGGAAAAGGCAGTGGCGGCAGATCCGCCCCGCAAAGGACTTCCATGAACTCGGAGGCCAGCGGCCTTTCGTATGACTCAGTCAAATACACGCTGGTGGTGGATGAGCACGCTCAGCTCGAGCTGGTCAGTCTCCGTCAGTGTTACCAAGGGTACAGTGACGACAGCGACACGGCCACCATCTACGACAACTGCGTCTCCTCGCCCTACGAGTCGGCCATCGGGGAGGAGTATGAGGAGGATGAGGAGGACGAGGACGGGGCTCGGACAGGAGGAGTCAGGAGAGAGGCCACAGCTTGTCTGTCTGAAGACTCCACTCCAGAGGCCGACCTGCACTTCTCCAAGAAGTTCCTCAATGTCTTCATGAACGGACGCTCCAGCTCCTCCAGTAAGTCATTACCACGGTAACAGACAGTTATTTCCATCAGTATATGATGTTTTGGAAAAGACAGTGGTCTTTGTGTTCAGGCTGTTTAACTCTAACACCGTGGTTGTAGTTTAAATTAAATTATCCTTAATTGAGATTCTGCTGGAATTAGATTGTAATAATATCAAACATAAGAATTATTCCAAGCAAACTCAAAGATAACACAAGCTTTTAAGTTTAAGTCTTTTTATTCTGTAAGACAAAGACTAAGCGATCTATCGTTTCAGAGGATTCTCAGTCATCCAGGTCAGAGACGTGATTTTATTTAACTATCACGATACAAATCAAGTCCCTATAAAATGCACTGCAGGCTGCTGTTCTGCGTTCGTCCCTGTGAACTCAGTCACACAGCACTGAGCGCTGTCTGGATGAATCGGCAGCGTGGTGGAAAAGTCTTAGTGACGTGGCCGATGATGAAGCTGGAATATTCCCGTACAGCTCCGATCATCATCCACATGACTGGTTGTTATCTGGACGCTCTGACTCCAGGTCTGAATTAGGTTTTTATTCAGAAAATGGTAAAAAAAAAAAATTGAAGGTTAAAATTATGATTCAACGTTTAAAGAGCAATACTGTACCATTACTGAGAGATCATATTAGAAATACCAGTGTTCTAAAGATGAATATTAACTCGTTTCACAATGTGATTTACTTGAAAGTTGTTCTAATTGAGGCCGTATCACCCGGCTCAGCTTGTTTGTCTCTGCCTTGTTAAAATCTTTATCAGCAGAGTGACAGCAGCGTGTTCAGAGCAGAAACCCAGCTGGGCATTAAAATGGCTGCCGGCGGGGGGGGGTGGGGTTAAATTTATCACATTCACAAACAGGGTCTGAGCTTTTATTCTGGGCATTGAAACAACGTTCGTCGATAAGTGGTTTTACAAATTATATCGTTTTTCTGTTTTGTTTCTCAGTGAAATCTGCGGAAGGTTTAATCGCCATCGTTTGTATTAAGCTGCTTCGAGTCACGATTGTGATCGTCATTGTTTATCATCTTCTTTAGTGTTTGACGCTCACCTCATGATAGTTTCACACTATTCGCTCGATGTGCTTTGAGCGACAATTTCAATCCGTCAGTCCAGTTCCGCAGCTTACCTAGAACATGCTGTCGACGGACCTGTGATGGAGGATTGTAGGATTTACCTTCGTTAGCCCTTTTGTCACCAATATCAATCACAGACTGACCCACGCTGCGTCGTGAGAGAGGATTCATATGAGAGAGTGATTTGTCTGTAACGCATAAGTGGTCATTTCCTCTAATGGTCCTTGTTGTCCACTTGGACGGCGTCCATGTTTTTACGGACTCATTAGAAACACCACAGCAGTTCATCTAAATACCTGATGTCTCTGGGGGAAAGTAAATAGATATACACAAAGCTCAGCTGTTACACGCTTAATTAAAGTGTGATTCATAGGTCGTAAAGAATCCACGCGTGCTTTAGAGGAAACACCATGTTTGTTATTTGTTAAGGATGATCTTCTTCTGCAGTTTGACGCTGTCATCCGTCTTTTGACACAGTTTCTTTCTCTTTTATATCGTTTCCCTCGTGTTTTCTGTTTTGTTGGTGTTGAAGGTGCAGAGTCCTTTGGTTTATACTCATGTGTCATAAACGGTGAGGAGAAGGACCAGAGCCACAGAGCCGTCTACAGGTGAGGAAGAACTCCACCCTCATCATCAGCCCATATAAAACTCAAACAAGACAAAACACAGTTCATGGATATTTAGAGATGAATCACTGAGTTCTTGCATTTACATGTAGCAGCTTTGAGTTAATTTTAAAATGATTCGACACATAATAAACAGAGATAATGGCTTTAATATAAAGACATTTAATGGAGACATGTTGTCGACTTTCCCAGATATTTAAGCACAGTGAGCAAACCCCTTCCCCTAACTGCCCAGAATCATATCAGAAAGTGGTATTTTCATTCAATTGCTCATCGCCATCTGTTATTTTGTGTTCTTAAATTGGTTTTAGAGCAAAAAAAAACATCAACTTAATATATGTTTCCACGGTAACAGTCCGACTCCAGCTGTCTGCACAGACTTACAGCTGTTGTCGATAACCTCGGGCCGATAAATGCGCGGTGGAGGCGGGAGAAACCTCAGCAGAGCAGTCATGTGAACAGCAGCACCTCTGTGTGAACGGATCATGTGATGACTCTGGATATTATCAATGCATAGCTGAAAGCAGGAGGCTCGTTACAGTTTGCCTTTAATAATATGGGTTTCTGTGTTTGCATCATAGACTCCACATGTCTCTGCTTCCTCCCATTGTGCGACAATTAAACCGAATATTGAAATTCTTTTTTGAATTCATTCCAAAGTTTGTTTGTTGTTCAGTGAAATTGCTAAAGTAAAAATTAAGAGAAAAGAGAATTATCATCATCATCATCATCATCATCATCATCATCAGTCATTTCTGAAGTTTCCTGTGTGCAAAACTTGTTTGCCGTTGAAATTAAAGGTGAATCAAAGCTAATCATAGTTTTGTCAGAGCCATTTTAATCATTACTTTAAATGAACCAAACGTTCCAGCTGACGGAACCTGAGATGTTTTTGCAGTGCAGATAATGTGTAACGTGGTCATCCAGCTCATAAACAGCCTGATAGGTCTCTATCGATCAGCCGCATGTCTGAATCTGTCCTCCACAGATTTGTCCCTCGACACGACGACGAGTTGGAGCTGGAGGTGGACGACCCGTTGCTGGTGGAGGTCCAGGCGGAGGATTACTGGTACGAGGGCTACAACATGCGAACGGGAGCCCGTGGGATCTTCCCGGCTTACTATGCTATAGAAGTGACCAAGGACACAGAGAGCTACAAAGGAACTGAAGGTAACGACACTGAAAGATTATTATTTATTGATATGAACTTTTGGGGGCTAATGTCGATACCGATATTTCAGAGTCAAGAAATTCTGATTCAGGTTAAGATGACAGTGATTCCTAAAATGCTGTTTTCAAACCCTCATGATAAATATATGTAAGCAAGGCTTTTTAATTCACAATAAAATCTGAATTGAATGAATCATTTTTGTTTTCTTGTTATTTCCTATTCCATCATTCTGTTTCTGTGCAGTGAAGAGCAGTGAGTGGATGGACAGATACCGGCTGAAGTTCCTGGGCTCGGTCCAAGTCCCGTACCACAAAGGAAATGATGTTCTGTGTGCCGCCATGCAGAAGGTACGAGACTATAGCAGAGCAACATCATGCAGCTGTTGAACCTTGATCGATGTCAGTAGGTTAAACTGTTGGAATGAGGCCAGACAAGTTATAAAGCAATGCAGAGTTGATGTAGATCAGTTAAAGAGTCATTCAAAAACCGATTTCATCTCCACAATTCAGCCAGAAATGTTTTAAAATATCCAGAATTCCAGAGTTTGTTTGCGTCGGCTGTGTTTCAGTTCAGTTAGCGGGACCATGCAGTATTAAAAAAACAAAGAGTTCATTACCACTTTGCCTGCAGAGGTCGCTGTCGCCCAGGAGAAGTTTACATAGAACGTGCAACATCAAAACGAAAATACAATCACATACAAACATCAGCCTATTCCAAATGTCACTTTCACAAAATCATATTATTGTAATATATATAAATGAGTTACAGATGGAGCTGTCTGTGTTTCAGAGTTAATCATCATAATGTGTTTCCCAGATTGCCACCAACAGAAGGATGACCGTCAAGTACAACCCACCGTCCTCCTGCATCCTGGAGATCAGCGTGAAAGGCGTCAAACTCGCGGTTCAAGAGGATTTTTACGCTTGTGACAGAGTAAGACGATTCTGTGATGTGTTGTTAAACTCAAAGTTCCTCTTCACACCAGAAACCCATTGAACGATTGAGGCATGTCGCCCCCATGTGGCTGCTAATGGACAGTACAGAAAATGATGTTCACTTTTGAGGACTTATTATCTCCTCCTTGTGTAGCCCCCCCCCCCGGAAAAGACCCAGAAACCAGAATATGTTTGATATTCCTCAGAATTAATCTTTACAATGATCCATTGATTATAAAAACATTGTTCATGTGAAGTTTCTCAAGATCGATTCTTGTGTTCGATGTTGTTTTCACAGAGTAACGAGTGCAGTCACTTCTTCCAGTTAAAGAACGTCTCCTTCTGCGGCTATCACCCCAAAAACAGCAAGTGAGTCACAGTGTCAGGGATTAACAAGTCAAGACCCAAACTGAAAGATACAGACTGGACCGTTCATTAATATGTGCATTTTATTATTACCAGGACACAATGATCAGAGAATGAATGAGATGCTGATTATATTAATATTCTTGAATCTTTTTCCTCCGTCCTCTCTGCAGGTATTTCGGTTTCATCACAAAACATCCAGCAGACCAGAGATTTGCCTGCCATGTGTTTGTGTCTGAAAACTCCACCAAACCCCTGGCAGAGTCAGTGGGGTGAGTTGAACTGTTTAAAAAAAATAAAATAAAATAAAATCTAGGATGTCTACGCCCGGCAGACAGACCGGAACATTACCTGGAAGATTATCTGGAAAAGATTATTAAAAAATAAACATTACAATCATTCTAAATATAAATCTTTTGTCAGTGCTGCACCATTTTTTTATGAAGCCACTTTTTGCATTAACATATGGGAGACGCGTCTAACGCACATTTTTATCCAGATCTAGAGCCATCTCGATTGTAAAATATTCAAAACACATTCATTTGCAATGTCAGTACAGATGTAAAAGACTTAGCATTGTGTACTTCACTGTGTAACTTACTCTTTACTAGCGTGAGGCAAAGTGACAAATAAACAAGATCCCACATGAACCAACCGTGTACTACAAAGTGCTAAACATCAAATATAAAAGGCGTCACGTAAATGACATGTATGACGATACAAAAATAAGCATTTAAAAAGAAATAAAGATAATAAAGAATGAAATAAATCTAATTAGTCAGAAGCATTGCAATTGATGATTGATATTAGTATTAAGTATTAATGTTTGAATTTATGTTACTGTTTCTTGTTTTCTGTTTTTCAGGAAAGCCTTCCAGTTGTACTATAAAGAATTTGTGGAGTTATCGTGCCCGACAGAGGACATCTACTTGGAATAGCACTGCCCTGCCTTCAGCCACAGCTCTGTACATTACCCTGTATCATACCTTAACGTTGCATGAGGGACAGAAATAATCTAATTTAAGATAAATAAAAATTACTGACCAACGAGCAGGAAAAAGAAGGATGTATTGGAGCAGTGGTGAAACCTTTGTGCAGCACGGAGGGGAGACAAACGGGACTTTTTGAGAAAATGAAATATGCAAGATGGAGTCGGTGATGAGATGAGCGATCACAGGCTGCACATGGAAAGCACAAACACACGGCAGCGCTAGTTAGCGTGTAGCATTGTCCCGGCAGGTGTGACGCTGAAAGCCCAGGAGAGAGAACAACAGCATTGGAGCTTTGGTGAGAAAACGACGGCTGCTTTGACTGCAAATATTTACAGTCTAAAACTGAGGGACGTGTGCATTTACTGAACATCCTCACACTGTGCTGTCGGAACACTTTATCCTTTTAGCATTCCTGATATAAAGAGGTGATTCATGTTGTTCTAAATTCCACCTGATCCACGATGTTTAAAAAAAAAAAAACATGCCGTAGGTGATGTTCTTTGCATTTGTGGGTCCTCTCAGATCTTTGTTAGCCCTTGAAAGTTGCTCAGGTGACACAGATGAAAAGCTAATCTGCTGCCGGTCAAATGTCGAAATTCCTTAAAAGTAAAAACAGATGAGGTTTCTACACTGAATCGGAAAAATCTCCCGAAATGCACTGAGCATCACCTGTGATTTAAAAAGGTGGATTTTACTTTCACCCCTCTCAGCAGCTTCTATTGATACGCTCGTGCTCTAAGATGAAGTGCTAAGATAAAGAGACCCCCACGATTTTCCCAGTAAGCCTGAATTTCTAGTCTAATGCGAGATGCACTGATTCTTTACCGTGTGTTCTAATACGGTATGAAATCAGTGACGAGGATGTTTAACAACAAAAAAGAGCCCAACCAATATTCTGATATTCTGATATTAGGGGTTAAAAACTTTCCGACACCGATATATCAAACCGTTTATATATGTTTGTTTTCATCAAACCTTCATAAATTAATAGTTAATGTTACAGCTTAAAGTTTATTTTAAGTAATAAATACAAATAAATCACAGATATATATCTTTTCTGCATTATTAATTCTGGATTCTTAAGTTTTTGCCTTTTCAGCAAACGTAAAACACAGATGCTGATATATCGGTGAAATGCTCATACGGGCCCATTTCTACATCTGGGTACGTTGTCGGTTTAGAAGACGTGCACGGATACATGGAACATCCTGTGTGTGCCGCGCTGGAATCTTTCTCCCCGTACGTCAGAAATAAGAAATGCTCTCTGGCGTCCTCAGATCTTCACGAGTAGTGCCTCTTTCTCATCGCATCATTTCCACCTCGCTCACTGACCATTATCACAACATTTTAAGGGATTGCCATTGAGTGTGAGTTGAATTTAAGAGTTTGAATGCAGACTGAATTGCAGGAGTATGTTTTGCACTTTTTTCCTCCACTGACTGAACTGTACCTGAGCTGTTTTCTCTTTATTTTTCTTGCCATATTAGGCTTAGACCATGTAGCGTAAAATGAAACTGAGCTCATACAGAGCCTGATGTCTGAGAGTAATACGTTAAACAGAGAAGACCCAGAGATCCAGGCTAAACTGGCTTAATAAACAAGGAAACAGCTAAAAGTTTCATTGAATTGATGATTGACAGAAAAATGACTTGATAAAAGTAGAACTAGTTCCATTAAATATGCTGTTTCAACAAGATCCATTAATTATTCACTAAAAAGTCAAACCAATATATTTGTTTAGTTATATTTTACCTGAGTTAAAATTTAATACATAACCCACTATAAAGTTCCCATTGATTGAATAAATCACGACCCTTCACCCTGCTTTAAAGCAGCAAGTTATTGATTAAACGTAACTTTTGAGAATCGTTAACTCATGAAACAGATCAAGTTTGATAAGAACCACCTAAAAGGACAGAAACACTTTTGATATTTCCGGTCAGAGAGCTGACAAAGGATTTCAATGTCTTTCGGAATCATTGTGGTGCAGCACAGGTACAGATGCTCTGCGGTGAGAAACAAACTGAAAATGTGTCTCCTGCATCTTTTATGTTTGTCCTTTAAAAAAAAAAGAAGAAGAGTTATTTCTAATCCCTGGCATCGCATCAACATATCAATACTGACTTTTATATGGAGTTCCCTTCTCAAGAGCCAATCAGGTGGACCGTAGGAATAATGTACTGTAGTGTGTGGGGGGGGGGCTATACAAAGGTTGTACAGACATGCCATATATAAATAAATACTTTAATATCTGTAATTATAAATATGACATTGTATTGATTCAACATGTAGTTTGTGAAATTTCTCTTTATTTTGGATTTTTCTTTTTTTTAGGTGTGAATTCTTTATTTAAAAATTTTAATGCTGATCTCTTAGTGTCCTGTCATTATTGTGTCGGCATCAAAGTATGAACACACGCACACACACAGGACACATGGAGCCACTATCTCCTCCTCTTCATCACATTAACGTCTCGTTATTACACGTTACTGACTTGACTTCGTCCCTGAGTCCTTGCAGTGGTTCATCAGATCCAGATCCAGGACCGAGGCTGGTGCAGCCACATCTGGATCGTGGATTACGGTTACACCTAAATTCCTCAGATATACAAAATGCCCACTCAAATACTATTATAGACGATAACACTATAACTTTAAACGTTGATGCATTCATTAATATGTTCATAAATTCATTAGTCACTGTTGTTTCTCATGAATGTTTTGCCGATGTGCTCCGTCACTCGAGACATCTATTGCACTCCCGTTTGCCTGGGAGAGAAATCTAAATGACACTCACTCTGAGATGTCTATATTTCATTTTGGTTTTTTTTTTAAGAACAGATAATGTCGTACCTTATTAGACACCATGAGGCCAAATTGTGATTTATGAAAATGTGCTAACCTCATCCAGGACCTCAGAAGTGACGTTTGGCCTCGTTAGGACTGCTGCTGAAATGGCCAGTGTTTAAACCTAAACTCTGAAAATGACCTGTTGTTTTAATTAGATCAAAACTCACTCTGGATAGTTCAGTAAGATGAATTTATCTCCAGGCGATTAAGGAGGAACATTGTTTTTATTTTAACATGCTGTTGTTTTTGTTGGAGGCTCCGTGCAGGACAGCTTCTCTTCTTTACGTCAGGATCCGTCATGTTTCTGCTCAGTAGTATTCATCCTCCAGGTTTGGCTGATAAGGATTTTTCACGTCAGGCGGGAGAGGAGGAGGGAGCGGCCTCTCACCGTAATCTGCAGCAACACATCAGCACGATCAAATTCTTATCAGTAGTTTTCAAATTTCAATTAAACTTTTTAATGACAGGGGCAGATGAATGATGAATCTCTATATTCATCATTTCTACATGGGAGGATTTCTGAGACAGACTTTCTTGCATGGGCTGATGCTAGGCTACATCAGTTTTACACAATGGAGGTTGTGGTTTCATGCTATGCATTGTTTTGTTGGCTGAGCTTGACAGTAGGAGGAAGAGTTGACCCTTGGCCCATCTTTATTGGCATTAATAACCTGATAAGTGTGTGCCTCACCGTCAGTGAGGCGAGCATGCTGTTTGAGGAAGTTCGGGACAAAGAGCAGCTCCAGCTCTGCAGGGCCTTCACCGTCTCTGCAGAAGTACGACACGAGATGATGATGCCACACACAGTTTCGACAGTTTACAATTTTTGCAGTGATCGTCATCCCCACGACATGATTTAACCGTTACCGGTGCTGAGCTGGGATTCAGGATTCCCTGTTTACTTAGATTACACACCCTAGTATGTGAAGCGTGTGATGACGACCTACCTGCTCAGCACAGGTGCAGACAGACCTGCCCTGAGAGTGAGGCATGCAAGCACGAGGACAGCAAACATGTCTTTCCTGTATTTTGTTTGGCCACGTTGTTAATGAGAGCACCCAGAGCAAACTGCAGCATTGAATCAAAACAAACCTCCTGAGGTTTTGGAATGATTACTTGCGTCAATCATTTCCTTAATTTTGAATGCAAACATGTTTACTCTTAAAATGTGTGCACACCACCTCAGCTCAATGAGGCTCAGTCTGCTATGTAAACCCTGTCATATTGCAAACCACTACAAGGAACAATAACATCAAACTCAATATTTAATTGAACATATTTAAACATATCCGCTGTCGGACCTGCACGAGAAGCTGTGTGTGTCTGAGTCAGTTACTTTTCCTGCCAGTCCCCTAATAAAATGTCTGAGTGAACCCAACATGTGAGGATGAAGGCAGAGGAGGACCGAGCGGCCTCTCACCGTAATCTGCAGCAACACATCAGCACAGTCAGACCGACGCTAAGTTTGTTTTTAAAATCTTAACAGTAGTTTTTCTCAAGTGTCTTTTCACTAAAGACACTTGAGAAAAACTACTGAACAAATTTCAATGAAACGTTTTAATGACAGGGGCAGATGCAGGAATTTTGAATCTCTATATTCATCATTTCTACATGGGAGGATTTCTGAGACAGACTTTCTAGAAAATAATGCAAGGGGCTGTTGCTAGGCTACATCAGTTTTCCACAATGGAGGTTGTGGTTTCATGCTGTCCATTGCTTTGTTGGCTGAGCTGTAAGACCCAATGAAATTGAAAAAGGGTTTGTGGGCGGTGGGAGGAAGTGTTGACGCGTCGCCCATCTTTACAACAGTGATGCCACAAACAGTTTCGACAGTTTACAATGTTTGCAATGATCGTTCATCACTGCAACATGATTTAACTGATACTGGTGCTGAGCTGGTGCTGGAGGTGTAAACACGATGAGATGGACCAGTGATGTGCACAGCAGAATTTATACTTGATGTTGGAAAGTCTTTATCTGATATTGTTTCATTGCCTATCCTTTGTGTCACACCCTGGGGAAACGGGGAGGGCCATTGCATAGTGATGACACTGATTCACTAACCCTCATTTAAAGAAACCACACCTTTACGCAGGTATCAAAAAAACAGGGAGAAGCTCACTGCAACATATTAGATGTTTGTCAGGGATAGAACGATAAAGTCCTGGACTCCTACACACTGTTTTTTGCCATTTGGAACATTACACCAGAGGAAAATTCAAACTCAGCTTGAGGACCAGCTTTAACTGTTCAATTTCACTCCGGTGACCACACAGGTAGGTAATCACGTCTCAGAGTTTGGTTACATGGTATATGCACAGCAAATCATTTACTCTTAAACCAAATTTCATGCTAATATTTAGTTTACATTGCCGTCCGTTGTGCTTTAACGATGAAAACCAGGTCTTTGAATCTTTATTTGTTTTCCCTTAAATCAAAACAACAAGGCGGCTTCATTTAACCGTAAAGTTGATGTGATGGAAATCTGAAAATACAAGAGGCTGGTTCACCAAATCTGTCTTTGTGTATTTACTAGGGGCTTTCTGAGGAAAGGATTAACACAGAGAGTCACAGGGATCTCAGAGTGCTGATTCTGGTTCAGACTGGTTCTGCAGGCACAGTTTGAGACAGGTATTAAGTCACAGGAAACGTATCTTTATAAGTTTCCTTTAAAGATAATAATAATATATAATGATTAATAATAATTCCTTGCATAGTCATAAAGCAATAGAAAGGTCATAAAGATCTCAGATAGGAATATAAAAGTTACCTTTCAACTACAAAATAGTTAAATTCTTAGCTATTTTTCCAAAACATTAATTACTTTCCTTTAGCTTAATTGTCATTGTTCTTTTGTTGTTTCCTTTTGGTCATTAAATGGAAATAAACTTGTTATTGTGGGGATGACTGCTGCTTCCTGCAGTATTAGCAGTGGTGTTGCAGTCGTGGATGTGATGCATATGGATACGTGTTACTTGCTCTGTTGACCTTTTTGTGTTGTGCCGAATATTTTCCTACTGATATGTTTGTAGAAGCCTTTTCATGCACTGGTAATTTTCCTCTCGTCCCCTACTGACTTGGCAGGAACACAGTGTTAACCAAACATTAGTTATGTAGTTCTAGGTTTTATAAAAAATAGAAAGATCATGAATCCTGTACAAGCAACTAGGACTTTTGTTTTTATGAGTAACATGGAGTAAAAGATTCCTGCAAAGAAATGAAAAGAAAATCTTTTTCCCAACAATCTCAGTGTTACCTTTTCTATATATCACTGTAATAGAATAGAGCCATGCCCATACTCAGAGCCATGAATCCAGGGCTCTGAGTTTGTCAATGAACAAAAAAACTGTGAATGATGAAAAGTGATCCATGTAACTGGTTAAACTGCTGATTTAAGTTATTGTTTTCTTGAAGGTGCAGTTTCACTCACTGAGGCCCCGAGTTTGTTGGAACATTAAGGATGACAGGTTTCACAGCTATGAGGTAACTTGACACAATGGAAGCTATGTTCAACCAAACCACAAACAAATATTGTTGCATGGCCGAGCACACTGAGAGATTATTATTCGTTTTAAAAACTTCAAACCTCTGTGCCACTTTTTTAAATTGGTCAATTAAAATATAATAAAAATAACAGTATATAATAATAATAATAGTAATAGTAATAATAATATATACATAGAAATGTGTCTTATATTTGGCCTGTGCAAGGTGTGCATACGTACATAACTGCAATTATGTGTATATATATATATATATATATATATATATATATATATATATATACAGAAGATATGATATAATATGATATATAGTATAGGTATAATTTATGCATATAAATACTTGATTATACGCGATATACACACAACAGATAATATACTATGAATATGAATATGTAAACACAATGTGCAAAAAGATGATATGTAATATCAGTACGGTTAATATTAACACCTATCAGTAGGAAGTAAAAGTTCCGGTATTTGAGCGGAGTGTTAAACAGGGTACACGGTGCGAAGCTGGCAGGTAGATTCGGTGCAGTTCTGTGATGGTGGCTCTGACAGAAGTAGATGAGTTGTAAAGTTTTATTCCTCTTTCCAGGCAAATAAAAAACTAAACGGAAGAACATTATTTTTTATCACAGTGGTTCTTCTCTATCATTACAATTTAGTCATATCACTTCAGCAAAGCAAATAAAAGAATGCAAGAACAATCCTGATTTTATAGTTGTTCATTACTTTGTAAAATGCATTGAGAGAATGCAAGTGGTGTTTCGGTGCAATAGAAACTAAATTCAAATTCAGATTATTTTATTTACTTCCTGCTTCTCTATCATTCCAGTCGGCTACATTATTCTATGAAGAGATTTGGAATCCTCTGCGCTCTTATGCTGTGTGTGACCAGCTTGACCATCTTATACTACAGGTGAAAATACTTCATGCTCTTGCTGAGCACTTGCAGAACATTCTGTGTGAGATGTAATCACCTCAAACCTGTTTTACTTCACTGTCACGATGAAGGTGGCTTTTTTTCCCCCTTTTTTTTCAGATATGATACCCATGAACCAAACCTGTTGGTGGCCAGAGAGAAACACCTGAGGAGGCACATAGATGATCGGCTTAACTACGAGTAAGAGACCTGACCCTTCAGTTTTGGTCCAGGGGTGACACGGTGACCACTTTGGCGGAGTTAGAATCCCTTTATTTTCTTTTATATGATACAATATAGCAAAACAGATCAGCGAGAGGAAGCAGTTTGTTTCTTTGGTTTCCCTGAGCGTCTAAAAATACTACACATCCATGGTGTCAGTTCTGTGGAATGCAAACCATCCTGCCTCTCCTGAACATGTTCATCTGAGATCTCAGTGTCATCAATGAGCCTTTTATCTGAGGGTTAAGGTTCTTGTCCAGCTGATGAACCCTCTCACAGACTTTGGAGTGGCAGTTCAGTTGAAGTTCAGAACTTACATGAGCACATGTCTATGTCAACAAAATGCAGAGTTGCAGTGCATGGTTGAAAGCAGCTTTTGTCCATGGCTGTACACACACACTCTCTGACAAACCAGTAGTGCAGGTTTGCTGTATGATCATTCAGAACATTTAGCCTTTCCTCACAATTAGGAAACAGTGCACCTGTGAATAGAGGCATTTGAAGAAAAACAAAATAGTTTTGTGGTTTCACGCCTCCATCAACTTGTCGCATCGTTGAAAATGGCCCAAATTGTTTTCCACAATGACAAAGACAGGTTGATCATTGACTGATGTGAATCTTTTCCCAGGGCCAGACCGCATGTTCAAACAACTGCGCCCTGGAAAGCACCGATCATGTGGGAGGGGATGTTTGACGTACATTTTTATGACAAGCTGCACATCCAACTCCGGTCGTCTGTGGCCCTCACTGTGTTTGCTGTGGGCAGGTATGTTGCCCCATAAATATTATGGGTGCTGAGATGCTGGCATTTTCACACTGAAGCAGTTCAGTCAGAGGATTTGGTAAAATACACTTTTTCCAACTGAACTAAGTACAAATGGGGAAAAAAATGAAATAAAAGCTCTCTAATAGGGTCAGTTTTTGTTTTGTTGTCTCTTTCTAAGGTACCTGGATGTCTACTGCAAGAATTTCCTTACCTCAGCAGAAAAACACTTTATGTTGGGATTACCAGTGACATATTACGTGTTTACGGATTCACCAAAGCAGGTACCGACAATCAAGCTTGGTCCCGAGCGAAGCCTCAAGGTTATCCAGGTGGAAAGGTACACCAGGTGGCAGGACATCTCTATGATGCGCATGAGGATGATATCAGAAATCATAGAGTCGGAGATCGCTCACAGCTTCACCTACGTCTTCTGCTTCGATGTGGATCAAGTGTTTAAAGGGAGGTTCGGCTCGGAGGCTTTGGGGGATTCTGTGGCTTTGCTCCACGCTCATTATTACAAAAAACCATCGCACATGTTCACCTATGACAAAAACCCCAAATCCCAAGCCTTCATGGCAACTGGAGATTTCTACTACCATGCCGCCATCTTTGGAGGATCGTGGAAAAATGTCAAGAATCTGACAGATGCCTGCTACCTGAGCATCACACAGGACAAATCGAATGATGTTGAGGCTCTGTGGCATGATGAAAGTCACCTGAACAAGTACTTTTGGTTGAACAAACCCAGCAAGCTGCTCTCCCCCGAGTACTGCTGGGACTGGCAGATTGCTGACATGAGCGACATACGCCTCGTCCGCTTGGAATGGGCGCCAAAACATTACGACACACTCAGAACTGAATAACTGTGACAAGATGAGTCACTCTGACTTGAAACTTTGACCTTTGACCATCAGATTCTAATCAGGTCATTAGTGAATGTTGGTAAATTAGTGAACAATCTTGCCAGATGTAATAACATTTCCTCATCTTGACATTCACAAAATGTGAGATCACAAAATCGAACCAGTTCTTTTTCGAATCCAAGAATTCGTTTGTGCCAAATTTGAAAAAAACAACAACCATCAACCTTCAAAGCTCCAGTGTGTAAGGTTTACGTGAAAGGGAACTATTGTCAGGTATTTAATTTAGAATAATCCTCATGATGTTTGCACTAGTTCATTTAATCTAAATTGTATGAATTGTAGTTTTATTTTCCCCAGAAAAGGCCCTTTATATTTAAATACTTTATATTTAAATATAAAGCCCCTCCCACCCCCTGCCCCACCACTCGACGTGAACTGTGCAGCAGCCACCTGTGTCATTCAACTGACCTCAGATCAGCTCGGACCTGTCCTGACTGAGGGCAGCGATGCATTATTCATAGACCGCCACCATCTGGCCCACCATGCACGGTGCCGCGCTCCAGCACTCACACTGTCAAAGACGTGCTGGCAGGAAGAGGACAGGACATTCTTCAGAGACTTATAGTTGAGAGGTATTTCAGGTCTGGATCATTTTTTTGTAATTGGACAACACATTGGACAGTTATTAAGGGACAACTGTACAGCTGAAGACAGTGAAGGCATTTTTAGTTTGAGTAGATTGTGCAGCGCAGCGTCTCAGTCTGCTGTGCAAAGATCAAATGCCTGGAAAGAAGAAATAGGATCCAGTTTAGTGCAATTTAGCCATAAAATACTTGTAAAGTATTGTAAAATGACTGTGTGTGTGTGTGTGTGTGTGTCTGTCCCACACCAGGGGATCGGATCACACCTGCATCCACTCATCTCATCACAATGCAGAGTTTAAAGATCTGGAGGAAGTGCTCTTTGCTGCCTGTTCCTCATTACATCTCAGCTGTGTGTGTGTGTGTGTGTGTGTGTGTGTGTGTGTGTGTGTGTGTGTGTGT